CACCATACTACTGTTCTCTCCTGTAGCAAAGGAAAAGATTGATCACAGGTTTCATTGTTAGAAGAAGTGCAACAGTGGCATCAAATTGATACTCTACCACATACCTTTAGGTGGCATGCTCCGGTTTGCTCTCTTGTCCAAGTGAGTTGCAATTTTCAGTTTTAATCTAGAGTGTTTGGAAGATTGTAATATGCCAGCCAACAGTACACCCAGGATAACAATGTCAAAATATTAGCATGTATGCTCCAGGTTATTCTATATATAACTGTAGTTTTCAGCCACACCTTTTCATTAGGAGAACTTTTCAAATTTATGGGATTGCTACTGAGCCCGCTGCTCATTCTGCTTACGTTGCTTTCCATACTGGTGTCACGTGCCAGAAGCAGCTGTAGCAACAACAGTTTTGAGTACACTTTGTGATAGATCACAATCCCATTGCACAGAACATATTCACATATTAGGAATCATTTTTTTAATCACACTGGCAAAATAGATGCTTGATCAGCTGTTTTAAGTCACGACTTACAGTAACACTGGCTTTACACTAACACCAATGGTCAGATCGTCAGATTCAGGTGCTTAGAATTTGAAACATGCAGGTAGGAACCTACTAGATTTCAGAAATGAGCAGGGACCAAACCCTCACAGGAATTAAGAAATCTGATTCCCATTCCGCTGGCAAAACAAAGGATGCTCATGTACATCTTTATGCACTTAGTATTCTTCAGAATGTGAGTGAGTGCTCGTTAGACTGCTGTTTCCTTGTGAGACAAAACAAGGGCCTGAAAGTGAAGTTGGAGATGGAGTTGATGGTTGTTATCACGCCTTTGTACTCACCTCCAGCAGATCTCTTGTGCTGCCTGTGAAATACATGGAAAGGTGCGGCTTTGCATACAACAGGAGGTGTCTGGAGAGTCGTCTTTGCTGCTGGAGGGATAAGCCTTTGTTCAGTTAGGCTCAGAATACCTACAAGAAGATGACATTGCAGAACAATTCCTATCTATTTCAGCTATGAAAAAAAAAAGAATTAGTAGCAATAAAGAAAGAATTAAGCAGACCCAAGTTCTTCCAATTCCAAATCAAAACTAGAAAGGCAGCAGTTTTCTTTTCTTGGAAGATTCATATCTTTCAACAGTCAATATTTTACCTTCAAGGAAGGTGAGCTTTGCCTACAAAAACTGCCAAATACATGGAAGATATCGTAACGGTACCGATTCTGAGAAGGAGCTATATGCTTGTACAGTGGTAATTTAATATGCAGAATTGCAAACGACAATATAATCATATAATCCCAAATATGGACCGATTGCTAAAATACTCCAAGGGCAGGTCTAGTTGAGATTGAATGATTAATAACCAGACGTTAATCACGAGCATGTTATTTAGTCAAACAAGAACCCTCTATAATACACAATTCTTCTTTCCAGTGGCTGCTGAACTCTGTGAATGACAAAATAACTGACTCAGGGAGGATGATGCTCAACGTACCATATGCTATGCCCTAAGTTAGCTACCACAAGCAATAAGTAGTCTGAAGTTGATCTCTACACTTTGCAACATTTGAGATGACAATTCTTACAAGTTTTGAGGTGCCAGAACATTTGATTACCAGATATCTGCCACAAACAGCAAACAGCACTGCTTATATAGCACTCATCTGGAGGCAACAGTACCCAGGAGGGCTTCTGTGACTCACCTTTCGTTGTATCTTCTTCTAACTGGGGAAAGGAAGAATCCATGCAGCGAGAGGCAGGCAAACCCCAAAGGCTGCTAACTGTATGACCTTTCACTACCTTCTGACTACACATCTAGGAAGAGACAGAATCTTCTTTTAACAAAGAAAAATCTGGGATTTGCAAAGACATACTTTTCTACTCCCATGATAATAAGTAATAAATATATTTTCTGCTATGAATAGTTTCATTAAGATTTAATCATGTACCAGTACAACCACTGCTTTTACTATCCATGAACCTGCTACAGTATCATCTACTGTCATTACTTTAGTAATTTAAAATAAAGTTCATTAAATCCAATTGATGTCTTGTGACTTCTGCTATGCAAAAATCAGTGTGCTAGTTAATAAAGGAATCAGAAGTTTGCTCAAATTTAATTAGTGTAAACATAGTATTTCTTGATAGAACAGTCTTTAAATATGTAAAATGCATACACAGGCAAGGTAGCAGAAAGTAAAGGAAGTACTTTCAAATATGTAAATACATTTTACCTGGAAAGAATACTAATGGAATTAAAACATGTGAAACTTCTCGCCAATCAGGGAACAGTAAGTATCACAAACTTCTGAAGTTTCAGGGTTCCTCGGGGACAGCAGGGAATGACACAGTCTGATAATGCGATGTGGAAACATGTGCCACACTGGCTGTGCTAGCGTGGGGATGAAAGCTCCCTTACCTCCCCAATTAACCTGTACTTGCCTGAAAAAACGGAACCTGCTGGTTCTAAGTGCCAGGAATTCAAGCAGTGACACATCTCACCTTGGGACAGCGATATCGTGTGTCTTACTGTTACACTTCTTATCACACATATAGAGCATTGCACAGGGAAAAGAATATATTGCCACCTTACACTTCAGTATTATAAATACAAAACTCTGGGTCGTCACCTAACTTTTTTTTCTCTCTCCAATATCCTAAGTATCTTCAGTTTCTTTCCGACTAGGAATACATCTACTACTCCATTTGCAATGTGGGTTGTACTCAACTCATAAACAGAGTACTAGATATTCAGTGGGTTTAAAGCATTACAGCACGTGCGACTTCAAGACAAGTAACATCACTGAGATCTCTCACTTGATGACTGTGAACCACCACCAGCAGATGATTATGTTGTTTTCTCTCGCCTGGCTGATGTTAGAAATATGAGACAATGATAAATCTAGAGAGACATGGAAGATTCAACTTAAATGTTTTATGAAGGAAAAGGAAAATTTAACACTAGTCTATCAAACCTTACTCTGTTGATAGATTTTTGGAGATCTAGATAAAGGTTTCTTAGTTTTAGCAGCTAAACTACCTAGGGATTGGCTGTGTTCTAATATATCCCGCTCAAAACTTCCCCTGCAACTGCAAATTTACAGGTTCTCCAGTAACTTTCATGCTGGATCCAGGCAACACAAGAAGGAATTGACTAAATTGGAATGAACAGGGTGAAGAAGTGCCAATACACCGGTGTGAATATGTGAGCAATCTCAAGAAGAAAGGTAGTTGGAGGGGCACACTGGGTCTGAGCAAACAGGAAAGCCAGCAGGCAGACTGGATAAGGAAAAAGACCTGGAGGCAGCAGGGTTAGGAAAGAGCTTTGGGACAGGCTGGACAGAGAGCCTGGCAGAGAATCAGGCAGGTAAGACAAGGATGTGTTCTGGAAGCAGTTGCAGAAGACAGTCTCAAGGAACAGAGAGACTGGGGCAAGACAAACAGGGGAAACTAGGGCAGATGGAAAAAAGGAAGCAGAGAGGTTTGTATGCAGCAAGGCACGTCTCCCTCGCAATCTGGAGTGGACCCCAAGATTCCAGAGTCTCATCTTTAGTCAGGAAATAGCTGTGAAACCCAATAAAAAAAAATGTCCCGTGCTTTTGTGGGTGACAATCTGTTAGCAGTTGCTCCATTAGTCTAATGGTTAGAAACTCTTACATTGGATAGAAATGTTTTAACCCTACTGATAAGCTAATATGGAAGACAACCTATGCCACGTTCTGGAAATTCATTTGCTTTTTTAAAAAATGATTTCATTATGAACGATTAACTACCTTAAAATAATATTAAATACATAAACCCAGAAAGCTAGGAAATACTGATAGATCTGCAAAATGGGAATAATGGTATTTATCTCTTTTATAGAGCTCATTGGGACTTCCTGGTTTAAAATACTAGGTTTTAATGACTGATTATCATGCCTGAGTACAGGCTTTAGTACAATAGGATGCAGGCCTTGATGGGGATCTTTGAGCACTATTGTGTCATAATTAGTAAATAATATCAACCATCAACTTCATAGGAAGGGATGGGCAATTCTCAAGAACTGCTTATAATCCTAATAGGAAAATGAGATAGATCAAAACAAACTATTATAATTTTTCCTCCCAATTTGTATAACAACACTGTTCACAAGAGACATTAGGGAGATAGAAAATATGTATGTTTTATCATAATAGAGAATCTTTCAGAGACATCACAGGCACTCATTTTAGTTATGGCCATTATGAAGCATTATGCTTTAAGGGATCTAGATGTATGAATCTTCATGTCCTCGTGTTCCAAGAAAATAGCAATAAGCATATAACAAAGATTAACTTCATACCAGCTGGCATATAAGTGGCTTGATACTGAGAAAAGGGAATAATAAACCACTTTTCTACTTACTCTCAGCCCCAGCAGTTTGTTGAGGACACAACAAAAATATATAAACCAAAATAAATTTAATTAAACAGTGCCTCCTTTTTCAGGCTATGGCTATTGTACCAGTAAAGCCGTACTGATTTTACTATTGGTCAGTTTTATCCTAGTTTAAATCCCAGGAGTTTTGTTATGATAAACAGCACTATGAAACACATGTATTTCATTTGCGTTCCAAGATGTAATAAGCTACAAGGAAAAGCAATTCAGGTGGAGTGTATAAGTTCAAAAACAGCCTAGAGGGTTTTTTGTTGTTGTTTTTTTGTTACTGTTGTTGTTTCTTTTTTTTTTTTTTTTTTTAAACTGGAGATAGATATTTAATTCTTTGTTGCTGTATCCCTTAATTTCTATAAAGTCAGGGGGGCTGGCGTCACGTTAAAATAAGGACAGATGCAACTGTAATGTAATTGAAGATCTCATTTACACTGCACAGTGCCACTACAATTCACTTCATTACATAGTACAGGCAACACAGTGGAACTACGGAGCTGACCCAAAACAGTTACGTAGGAAATTTCCACCCAATCTGTCCACCCTTCTTCAATGTTCTTTCAGCATCCTATTCGCTGCATTAGCTGCCCTCTCGAAGATTTCAGTGAGATATCAAAATTTGACAAAATGCTTTCATCCTTCACTTATTTTCACTAAAATTAAACCAACTCAATTACAACAACAAGACCTTAAAAATAATAAAAATAAAATTAAGTACTGCAAGAAAAAGATTTGCTTTTAGCATCATCATATAGTTCTATTACCATTATTCAGTGATTTAACTTAAAAAGATACTTAAAAGATTGTATTTTTTTAAAAAGGTTTTCAATAGACTTCCTTCTGCTTATGTCTGCACAATTTAAAACCTTTACTCACACCTACAGCTTTTACAGCATAAACACAATACCTAGTGAATTCAATACCGCGTATTCCAGGACTGGCAGCTCCTAACCAGCATTGTAATGTTTGTGGTGGAGACAGACCCAAACCACCACAGAAGCACAGGATCACACCCTACACAACACTAACCTGTGGGCACCTCAACGGCTTCCTCTCCAGCAGAACCCAAGCAACCGTGACGGCTACGAGGTGGCTGGAACCTCAAACATTTCCCTGCATCAATAATGTCTTCTGGGGAAGTTTGTTATGAAGATTATAGTTCAGCAAGGCTGCTTTACGGAAGTCAGCACACAGCTGGCTTCATCATGGGTACTTGTAAAGTCCAGTTTTATAGGGCTGGAAGGGAGCACTTAATTTCCAGTGCAGGCTAAGGCTTACTTGCCTTAAAATATGCTTGGAGTGTGCTGAAAAACTATTTTTTTCATTTCAAGCGCTTGAGTGTAATTAACCTGAGACATGAGAAAAACAATTCTATTACCCTTTCGAAAGTGTTTTTCTCCTGTGGATAAACCTCTCCCACTTGATTTTTTTTTTTTCTTTTTGCTTCATTTTAAATAGGACACTTGTTGTAACACCACAGGGATTTTGCAACCAGTTCTCTATTTGTTTTCTTTTTACCTAGACAGCGATATTTAACTAGAACATTTCAAAAACTATGTTTATAAATATGGTTTTTCCCCAGTAAAATGATAGATATTAGTATTAAATACAGAGAAAATATGAGTACTATCATGTATCAAAACTACCGTTTACCAACCAGGAAGATTAAATAGATGAGATTTGGTACGTAAATATCAGAAAACCACAGGGCTTGATAGTAATGGTAGAAAAGGTATAAAACTGAGTAATCTATCATTTCATGATTATCTTCTCCAAACTGCCATCTACCTTGCATATTTTTATTAAGAAGTTCCTATCAAGATTTGATGTACACAGTTCATATTCCCTATAAAGGGAAGGAGGAAGCATAGCAAAATAAAATCAATGGATCTAAGGTCAGTTTTCAGTACGCTCGGGGAACTGGCAGGAAAGAGCTGGTAGAAGGCAAGTCTAATTGAAAGAAATTGGAACTCCATGAACTGTGTGTTCCACAGATAAAAAGTGCTAGAGAAACAAGCTCAAACTATTCCAGAGATGAAGCAGGATAGCAAGTTATCAGACTTGATAAATCATGTTCTTTGTTGATCTCAAAAGCATACGTATAACAGGCATACTGATGACTGCTTCTTGTTTGCTTAAACAGGGAAGACAAAATGAGATGCAAGTAGAAAGAAACTTCTGGGTAATAAAAAATTACATCATTAAGTACATTCATAATTATAATTTAAAACCCAGCTAGTTATGAGTAGAATCAACTTACTCAATCGTAGTGTAAAAGGGAAGAAGTCTCAGACTACCTTAAGGGCAAAATAGGTCAGATAGTGCTCACAGGTTTTGCAATTGGCTGGTCCTGATGAAATACACTCTAGGATACTTAGAGCTGTCTAAAGCCATCTCAGAACAGC